GTGGCGAGAAATGAGATGGATCTTGATCTGACAGATTTTGCGGATATCGATACACCAGCAGAAAGTTCCGTCGCAAGGCGTGCAAGTTCAGTATCCACGGCTCCGTCACCACAAATGGCTAATGAAATAGTCGAGACCAGTGAGGAAACCCCTGAGCACGTGGATTATTATATGCTTCGTTTTATGGAACGGGAATTAGAAATAAATGTTGGGTTTGGTGGATTACCCGACCCCGAAGATGGTTTGATTTCAGAATAGTTTCAATAATATACCATGGATAACAGTATAATAAATTGTAATAAATTGGATTGATTATTGGTTCGGTGTTTAAGCGACAATGGGTTTTTTAGGCTGTAATATAGACATAAGAGTTAGCGAGTGGTGTTGTTTTTTTCTTATTCTTTATTTTATTGAATCGCAACTTACAAAGTCAAAATGGTATAAAAAAAAATTGTATAATAATTTAAGTCAAAAAAAAAAGAAGTCACTATTCATTCAATCCATAAAAATAGTTCTTGTTGTGCAATGTACGAAGATGTAAGAATCGAAAATCTGCGCGCTTGAAAAAAACCTTAACCACCAGCGAGGTACTTTTCGCATTCACGTAATATCAAAAATAATAAACCGTTAGATGTTGAATTGTTAATTTTTTGAGAGCCATAATGCAATCTTCGATCGGAACCAGTGGCAGTATATGGTTCGCCCAGCTGCAGGTGGATTATGATTATTTTTTTTTCAATAATATTTATCAGTTACGGGTTAAATTGTTAGGATTTAATATTATTATGCAATTTTACATCTTAGTTGGAACGATGGAGTTGTACGTTATTCTTTAATATCTTTTTACATATCCATTTCAAATGGTTTCGAAAGCTTATGCGTAGTAGTGACATTGTATTCATGTTCAAGTGATTAAGCAACAATCATGAAAAAACTTGTAACCAGCAAGCAAATATGAAGTTTAAATTTGAGTCTCCTCTTTATTGAAAATTTTTCGTCCAGGGACAAAAAGGAATTTTTCCTCAGGTTGAAAGAGAGCGCTAAAAGACTCCAGCAATAGTTTTCGCTGTTCAAGAGTGGGCCTAGCTTCTTCAAGGGTTGGCGGGGCTTTTTTCTTCTTTTGTTTGGAAACCTTTCCGTTTTTGTCCTTTTCAGGCTGAGATGATTAAAAATGTTTTTAATAAAACTTAATTCATTAAATTCTCTTAGATAGAAAAAAAAAAAAATACGAACGAAGCGGGCCAAATAAAATTCTTCAATTTGAGCGTCAGTTTCGTCCAGATAATTATTGTATGCGAT